TTTTCTGAAGATAGTTTCCAAATTTGTACTAGCCAAAACTTCACTATATCGAGCGCCGACTGTATTTTGAATCATAGGTCAATAATTGCTGCAATGAGGGTATTTAAGGTCAGTGTCTTTAAATATTATTTTATATCGATATTAACTGCTGCTAAATATTTATTATATGTAAAACAAGTAATACCAATACATTTTAATATGGTTTATTTGCCCTCCACATTAGAGTAAAGCCTGTTTCCTGGGTGGAAATTTTTAGAAGAAGAAGAAATTACATCCCTACTTTTAGAAGATGAAGTCGAAGATGAAATCACATGCCATCTGATAAAAAGGGAAATATGATTTAAATCATCATGTGTTGGTTTAGCTGAATCAAATATAACCCGATGACTCAAAAGTTAGTCATTCTGTTGGCTTGGGCACAGTGATTTAGTAGTGTTAACCAATACCAGTTTGTGAATTCTTGAGTGAACTCACACACATGTCCCAGAATGACTTATATCTCCTTATATTTGAAGAAATTGGTTTTGAGGAAGATTGCACATAATTCTTTAATTAAAATTCTGGTGTGATCTGTGGCATATTCTGATACATAGTTTAAAACCTTTAGAGCTTCAAAAATTACAATTAGAACATTTGCTACAACAAATTTACTTACTATACCTGAAGTACAAGATAAAATAAACCAAAACCTCCAAAAGCCACTGTTAGAAAAAAAGGATCAAGTGTTGATGCTGGTAATAGAACATTTATGTAACTATAGAAAACATTGTTAAAAATAATATGCAAGATTAGAAATCATGTAAAACTGGTTGGGATTGATTTTATATTACTATCTATGTGTTTGTTTAATTGGATATTAACACTTTTTATAAGAGGAAGAAAAATGCAAATAAAAGCACAAGAACAAAAAATGCACTAAACAACAAAGGAAGCAATCTGTAAAAAATAAAAAAATAAAAAAATAAAATTATTGATATGAAAAATAATCATCTAATTGCTGTGCATCACATAGAGATCAATTAATTATAAATTGAATCTTCAAAATCCACTTAGCTATTGGATTGTCACCCTTTTGGGTGCTAGGTGATATTCTGGAATGTCAACTTTAGTCTTTTGAGTTTGAATGAGTCCTCTATATTTTCATCTGGTTCAATAATATTCCGAATTCAAAACAATTTACAAGTCTCAGAGGTGGTTTTTATTGTGAAATGCCCCATATTATATCATCAATAAATTGAACTGACTTTTGCATATAGTATATGAGTGCATCCAATAATTTGCTACATCTGCATATAATTCACATGGTTTGTCTTTTGTATATCTATAAACACAACCTTTAGTATTACAGCAATCCAAGTTCATTTAACTAGAACAGCATCTATCTGATACAAAAAGAGAAATTGGGTTTTTGGATAAAAGAATTTAAGCCAAGAAGTTTAGGAGTAGAAATGCCACACAAATTAGTGTGAATAAAACTGTACTAAATATTTTAAAATATCATCATTTATTTTATCAAGAACAACTAGGAATAATATACATCAAAAAAAGAATTGATGAAGAAGGATGGCTGTAATGTAGAACCAACTCCTGGGCAATAATTTTAGAATCAATTGTTCTAATATTATATTATAAAATTCATATGCATGTCTTATTGCAGAACTAGGTTGACCTCTATAAAAAAATTGTCAAAAGCTTGAAACTTTTATTCAATTGCAAATTTTAATCCATAAACTGGCAAGTAGAGTTCCAATGAGTTGGAACAGCCAAAATTTTAATTCTGGATTTTTGTGAATTTTGTAAAAAAGTCCACAATCATGAATTCAACGTTGTCCTCATTTCTATTGAAAAGGTACTATGTGGCAGTCTTCTTTGGGAATGAATGGGCCCATTTAAAGCAAATAAATAATCATCAAAATATTTTTCAGAAAGTAAATTAGAAATACAAATATTTATGATACATGTCATTTGTGGGAAGAAGTTATTTATTATAAAGTTCCAAGTTAGAGATCTTCCCACATGCCTTAAAATTTAATTGTTTGTTAAATTATTTAACACCTCACAAAAAATTCTTTGGTATTTTTAACAAACCTTTAGCATTATAATTATTAATTACCTTTATTCTGACATCCAAGATGGAAGATTTGATCAAATCACAAAAATCTATCTTTATTAATAATTGGCAAAGCAGTTTATATCATCACTTCTGTTAACATAATATTCATGATGCTGGGTCTGTAAAATATTAAAGATTAGTGAATCTTAAGATTATTGAATTATGAAGAAAAGTTACATACATATACAGTCTCCGGCGAAAGTAATGGCGGCGATAATTTTTTTAAAAACTAAAAATTTTTAATAAGCAACTATCAATAAAATTTTATTTTTAAAACGCCTCTAAGTAAAACATTATGCTTTTAAAAGCTTATAGTATAAAACGTTCTCCTCCTTTTTCAATCCCGGTTTGAATCTAATTTGAGCATTAAAAAAAATCGGAACTTTGGCTTTTTTAAAAAATTTTTAAATTTCATTTTTCTATTAAACTTTTTTTTTATTAAGTAAATGAATCTTTATACATTAAATAAAATTATTTGAAATGAAAAATTCCACGTATCCTAAAAATTTTATGAAGTTTGGATAAAAATTTTTAATATGTTTTTATATTTTACGCTTTTACGAAATAGAAAAATCAAATTTTTTTACACAAATGTAAAGTGCAAGAACACATCAAAAAATTTTCTCTAAACTTCATAAAAATTTTAGGATATGTAGAATTTTTCATTGTGAACAACTTTATTTAATATAAAAAGATCGATTTACTTAATAAAAACTTAGCAAAAATAATGTTTCAATGTACTGCCATTACTTTCGTCGGGGACTGTATATTGCTAATATTACAAGAAGACCACAAAATATTTACCAAGATGAATCTCTTGAGTATAATGAATTTATTGAATCCCTTGACAATTTAGAAGATGGTAATGGAACTGATAATGATGGGACTACTGAGGAAATGGAGATAGATGAAACTCCAACAACTACAAGAATTGAAGGAACACAAATTCAACAAATTAACCTTCCACATCCATCACTATTTAATCAACTTAATCATCGTAATCCATTACATGATTCTGAAGATAATTTGCCAGGAGAATTTAATAGACTTGATTCAGTTAGCCCTTATGAAATTTTTAAATTATTTTTCTCTGATTCTATTTTAGCAACAATTGTAACTAATACCAATAAATATGCAATAAATAAAAATGGAGGAAATTCATGGTTAAGCATCGATTTATTTGACATAAAATTTGGTTAGGAATTATTATCTATGCTGGATTATTTAAAATGCCATCAATTCGAGATTTGTGGAATAAAAAAAAAGAATACCCAATACATTCTATTGCATCATATATGAGTATTAGAAATTTTGAAAAAATTAAAAATTTTTTGCATATTTCTGATATAGAAGAGAATCATCCATTTTGGTATTCAAAAGTTGAACCATTAGCATCCCACATAAATAGGATATCACAATCAATTTATGTACCATCATCTAATATTTCTATAGATGAAATGATTATAAGGTTTTGTGGCAGAAGTGCACATACTTTCAGAATAAAAAATAAGCCAACACCAGAAGGGTATAAGGTTTTAGCTTTATGTGATGCAGGTTATACTTTTTCTTTCATCTTTACCTCTAGAATTGAAAAAGATAATGAAGTTGAACAAATTAAGAATCTTAATAAAATAGGAAGTCAAGTTTATCATTTAGCTTCCAAATTACCTTCCAATAAAGCATTCAATATTTATATGGATAATTACTTCTCTAGCATCACATTATTCAAATTTTTACATAGTAAAGGAATTGGTGCTTGTGGAACTGTTCGTACTAATTCTTCAAGATTTCCACCAGCTCTTAAAATAGGAAAGAAGAAATTAGATTGGGATACCCTCTCTGGTGTTGTTGTAGATAATGATGTATTGGCAGTATTATGGATTGATAATGGTCCTGTCACAATGTTATCCACAATACATAATATAGTTGGTTTTGAAAATAGAATATATAAACTTCGGCGCTGTCCTCATAAGACTAGTAGTAATGCAGTTAAAGTAAAAAAAGTATTTGGTAGTAAAACAAAAAAATTATTACCAATCCCAAAGATAATTGATGATTACAATCATCATATGGGAGGTGTTGATATTGCAGATCAACTAAGAAGTTATTATTCCACTCAGCAAAAAGTTCAAAGAACCTGGGTGCCAATATTTTTCTGGTTATTGGATACTGCTATCATAAATTCTTATTTAATATACAAAAAAAAATATAATAATCAGATTATGTATAAAGATTTCAGAATGAGTATTGTATGGGATTTAATAAAAGAAGGATTAGATAGGAATACTGGTCAAAGAGAAACTCGTTACCAATCATCTTTTTCATCATCTTCTCACACAAGACAAGCTTACACTACTTCTAAATCAACTCTTCCATTGGAAAGATTAATTCAAGGAGATCATTTGCCTGAGTATAGAGAAAATAGGACTAAATGCGAGTATTGTAAATATATGACACAAGAAGAAGAAGGAAAGTCTACAAATAATGAAAGTCGTTCATTTATATTTTGTACTTTATGTAATGTTGCTTTATGTTTAAACTCGAAAAGAAATTGTTTTGTAAAATATCATTGTAGTGATTAAAAAATAAATTTAATTTTTATAAATTTTACACAAAAATAAAAAATATGTACATGATTTTCAACACATATTAAAATGAAAACCTGTATTGTAAACTGGATTTTTTTTTAAGTAAACTTGTTTATTAGAAATAGTATTTTTACATAGTTTACGGTTTAGACCAAATAATCAACGAGTAAAAACTTTTTCTAATCATA